TGTTGGTAAATTCTTCTGTAAACCTTTATTTTCTTAATGAAGTCACTCATGGGTTCTGCACCCTGTCTTCGTCCAAAAATAGCATGAACCTTACCTGACCATATAATGTAAGTAATAATTCTTTCTCTTCTAGAGTTTATAATGGCAGATCTGGGATTGTAGTTAGACAGTGAGGAAAGTGAGCAACTACGTTTAGTCTGCGCTGGTCAAAGCATGAAAGCGTTAAGTCAACTATATTTAAATCCTTCTCCCTACCTGCCTAATCTTCTCCTGTGTTGAGGGAGTGGATGGTGCTGCATTTATTACATATTAGCTTTTTCCTTCTCCCTGGAGTGAACTGCTGCTTTGCATCCATCCAACAAGAGCAGAGAAGAACTCCCAGCTCTTTATAAGTGCGGTGTTAAATTTATAACCCATTGTACTGATATTAAGTGCACTTACTAAAGATAATTTTTTATATTCCTTTTCCCATGTCCTGCCCACATCTATGGTCAGATGATCTCTTCAAATGCTCAGGTTGCTTTTTCAACTTCCTGCCTGGTACTGATGGACTCCACCAGGACCACAAGATCCATCATAGATTGTCCTCACCCTTCTTGGCACCAAATGGCCTGCTAAACCTCTATGGTTCAACCACTCAGCTGCCAATCCTCCCAGTTTTTCCTTCCTGGGCTTTGTGGCCTCAGGGGTGTCTCACACTCCTCTGCTGCATGTTTAAACCCATCCTTGATCATCCACCTTGACTTAACATTAGTCCTCTTGGATCTTTTTTTTCAGACATCACAATAATAGAATGATTTAGGTTTTAAGGCACCTCTGAAGGCCATCTAGTCCAAGCAGATCTAATTAGATCAGGTTGCTTAATGACTTGGGTAGTCAAATCTTGAAGACCTGTGAGGGTGGAGAGGACAAAGATATATCTTCCCAGCTGGAAAATTAAGTATTAAAACCAAGCACCAAGAACAAGAACCTCGGGTAGATGCTGCTCAGAAACTGCCTGAGCAGCCATGCATAGGTGGCCAGAATAACAAGGTTTCAAGTGCCAAGGAGACAAACTGCAATTGGGTAAGGGTATGCCAGGTACTGTAACATGGGGCTACATATCGAAGCCATGTATTTCTTATCTTCATACATACTGAATGCTGTGTCTGATTTTACACTGATATATTTGAGGGAGAATGGGATGTACAAGAGGGTGTCGAGGAGCAGAATGGGATGGTGGAAGACAATGAATCCTGTATCAGGAGTAGGAAGAAATATCACTCCAGTTCTTCCAATGAAGGAGGCAAATTTGACTTTGAGGCAGTGGGAAAAGGGGAAGCAGGTCAGGAAAAGTGAGTATGGCTATAACTGAATCACTGCTTGGAAATGGCCTCTGTGGCACACATTGTGGCAATTCCATGGCTCTGAAGCCACAAGTGGGCAGCTGTGCTGGTGCAGGGCTGCTAGGTAGTGGCAGTCCTCAGCTGCAGGGGTCAGGGAGCCAGCAAGTCTTTGCATGTCCCCATCACCAGGTCACTTCTTGAGCCAGCTATGCAGCTGTGCAAAACACAGACCTTGTCCTCAGGAGTTCCCCAAAGGTGGGCTTCATGGAGTCGGTCAGGGGCATCTCAGTTCTATGAGCACTGTGCTGTGTAGTGCTCGTGGTCAGGAAGACTGGCTCCCTTTGGCGTTTAGGAATAGTGGCAATGAAGGGGCTGATGTTTGAGGATGGGGCCCCACTAGCCTTAAATATGAAGAAAATTAACTCTATCCCAGCTGAAACCAGGACACCACGTGTCAGCAACCCAATCACCAGTAAATGTAACTGCCCTTTTAAAAGATTTGTCCTGAAATACAGCAGCTCCTGGAAGGTCCTGATGGTGCTGGAAGCCCAGCTGAAGCCTTGCACATAGATCTTCCTCCTTTCCAGCTCTAGTCTCCAAGGTTAGTTTACTTTTTAATTGAAGATTACAAGTGCTGACACAGGTTCTGATTAGTGAGCACCTGAATGATGTCCCTTTTGGTTCCAGATAGTTAAGATCTGTTGTGGCTGTTCTTACTATAGCTACTGCAAGCTCTTGAACACTGTGTTCCCAAAGTAAGAGAGCTGTGTAAGTATTATTATCCACGGTGTTGCACATGATAAGCACAGATTTCAGATAAGCAGAACTCGGCAGTCTGCAGATCAGAGATGGTGGTAAGGTGATAACTCTGAATACACTTCTCGCATGTAGGCTGTTTTTCTGTGGTGCTCAACCATCCTTCTCTGTAGGCTGCAACTGCACAGAGCAGTTCTCCTCTGAGGTCTTGCATTAGACAGAGTAACACGGAGTGTCCAGAAAAGAAAATCATCTTGAAATTGTGCGGAATGTAATAGTCTCCCTATGTCACATCAAGCTTTAAGTCGCCCCACATTCTAATGGCCTCTTATCTGTATCCCAAGTCCCTGAGGTCAATATGAATATTTCTTTCTCACACTGACCTCTGGGAAAACATTTGGATGAATGTTGTTAATCCCCTTGGTGCCCTGCATGTCTAGGAGATGTCTACAAAACAGCATGCAAGCAGTGCTTGGAAGGAACATAATGAGGCAGGTTTGATCCAAATAACAACAGAAGCCTGTCACACACCTAAATAAACAGGCGAACATGCCAACGAACACAGGCTTTTGCAGGGTGATGTGGTAGGAGTAGAAGGTTGCTGCCTGGAGTCAGGCTGAAGGTTCTTTAACACAAAAGAGGCATGAGTTGTTCTGCTGCGCTCAGCTGCCAGACTCTGGTATTATTCAGAGCACCACGGACGAGCTGTGGCATTGCTGTCAATCCCCTTCAGCCTCTCTAAGCATTGGGCAGACACTGACCTCTGCCCACTCTACCGTAAGATATGGGATGATTTTCTGTGCTGCAGGAAGCACAGCTATGCTGGCTGCTCTGTATACAGAGCAGAACAAACCAAAAAAATCCTCACAGCTCTAAGGCATACGTAGAGAAAAGTAGGAGAACCAGCAGCAAGGAGTCAGTGCTCTGCCACAGCAGGGGAGCTCAAGCGTAGGTATGTGCACCTGATCGTGTCCTGTAATGCTCACTGCTCTGAGGTGGAGGCTTCCCAAACAGAAAGCAGCAGAGGAATCATGACCCTAGGTGACTTGTACATTAGCTATATCTGCAGTTCAGCTGAGGAGCAAAGAGCGGACTCCTAGCTTTGTCAGGACCTACCCTGGGAGAGGCTGGAAGGAAGATGCCAACTCGAACAGAAAGAAGAGAAGCGGGTGAAGATGAGGGCAGGGTTTGGGTGCCCTGTTGCACACGGCTATCAGAGATGAGCAGCATGACGAGGACAGGGAACCATGCCTGCTAACCCCCAGTGCATCTGGTTCCTCCACAAGGCAAGACAAAGCCTGGGAAAATCTGGTGGCAGAGTATAGCCACCAGCGTTCTGTCTTGCTCCTGGGGCATATGCAGAACATATATGCATGTAGCCTGAATGATCTGTGTGCATTTGCCCTTGCCCCTGTAGCCAGTGTAGAGGAGATGAGGGTCTACTATAAACTGCCTGAATAAGAGCCTGGCTTTTTATCACACTTTTGTTTTTTTTTTCCATGCCTGTGCTTAGACAGCTCTGTAAGCCATCACCTCAAAGTTACAGGCAGATCCGAAGCAAGCCAAGAGCTTATGGAGGACTTTGGGAGGGTGTCCTGCATGACCAGCAATTCCATTTGAGCTGTGTAAATAAAAGACCTAACTATGGTGAGAAAGATCTGGGACAGCAAAAGCATGGGATTCACCCCTAAAAGCCTATTTTAAATCAATCAGTTAAAAAACAGTCTCTTCGAATACAAAAGTGTAATATGTTTGGTATGAGCTCAAAATCAGTTTTCGTCTGTGGCTGCACACTGAGTTAAGGACTTTGTCTGTAATAACTCAGTCTATGTCCCTGGTCAATCAGATACAACACCTGCATTTTAAACATGTATTTCCTGTCGTGGATTTTTGCTTCGAGCCTTATTGTCCCCCAGTTATCTGTCCTGTACTATATTTTGTAGCTGCTTGGTCCAAATACATGGATAGATTTTCACATCCTTTTGTATCTGAGCAGAGATTTTCTAAGTGCAAACAGCAGACCTGGAAACCTTGCTTTTACATTTCTGCTATGTAGTTACACAAATCACGAGGCCAGGATTTCCTAGTGATTCTGTACTGACCTTTGGTACTCTGATTTCATCTCCACATCCTCTCTGTTAATCTAGGTAATTTAACCAACACTGACTTCAACCTTCACTCTTGAAAGGCGTTGGGCAGCCTTACTTGTGTGACAGCTGCAGATCTTCAGGCAGGCGTTTCAACCAGATATCCTGAAATGTCCTTAAAAATTTTCAGTTTCAAACAGCCGAGGCAACACGGCTACAAGAGCTATGCTTTGAAAAACACCCCATCTGCATGGCCTAAGCCCTTAGCATGGTTTATAAGTGTTCTGTCACAAGTTAAATCAAACTAATCCTTTCACTTCCCACCACATTCATGCTACTGGGAAAGTAAGCTTGTTTACCTACCTCTTAACAACTTTTGCAGGGACCATGAAATCAGGAATTTATGCAATTTTTGTTCTCCTTCAGCACCTTCCTTTTCAGGATCACAACATGTCTCCTGGCTGGGTTAAGGAAACTTCCTGTATTTCTTGCATTTAATTAAATTACTTGCTCACCATGTGCAAGTGGGAAGGCTCCTGTCACTGTACTCCCGTGCTCTTACATTGGATTCAGCAACTTCAAAAAGTTTCCCAGTGCAAATTCATTTAGAAACTTTGGTGGCATATTCCTTTAATTAGTTTAAAAAACTTTAGTATTATGTTTTCCTTTATTATTTTAACGACTTAAAAAGAGCCCTCTTTTCTCTGCTGTATATAACTGCATGAAATCAATGCCCCAGAATTCAAGCTCTCAGCACCTTGATGTGTTATTTCACATTTCTCGCTGCCCATTGCCCTCTCAAGCTGTGATTCACTCTCCCAGTGTGAAAGCAACAGAGGAATTAGCTTGATGCCCTCTCTTTCGTGTATTGTCCTTTTTGCAGGGTTCCTTCTGTCCACATGAGGTTCCTGCGTGTCTCATTCCCAGCCGTGCTCCTGCCCATGCGCTATTCTGCTGCGGTTAATGATCCCTTGAGCTTTAGACCCCAGGAGTCAGGATTTCCTGGTGCTGGCTGCAGACACAGATTCCTGACTCTGCAGCACTTGGTGTGAGAATAGGGGAAATCGATGACTTCTGCGGGATAAGTTATTGCTTTTTGTTTACTTTGGCTTTTGTTTGTAAGCCACGCAATGTGCTATGCATTTCTTTAACTCTTCCACCACAAGCTTTCCAGGCAGTGTAAAAGGTGCTCAGGTCTCCTCAAGTTGCCTGTGCACTGTTCTTAATGTGATGCTTGCTACAGCACTGCTGTGGATCTGCCTGCAGGTGCACAGCTCTGCTGGGAGCCTCTTGGTCCCAAATCTGGGCATGCACATGAGACCAAACTTTCCCAGCCTGTTACTCACTGCATCTGCCTGGTATCTCAAGCAGGAGAAAGCCCCTAAAAGTGGACCAAGGTTGCATGGTGCTATGATACCCACAGCCCTCTTTGCAATCCGCACCGTGCTCGTTGTCCCTCTGAGCCCCAGAACAGCTGAAATCCCACATGAATCACGTACTACCCTCCCTCCTGCAATCTCTTATCTGTATAAACACTTCCTGGACTGCCTGAGCTCTCATACTGCCCAAGATCTCGAAAAGACTTCTGAACTGGGAGATTTATGATTATTGTGGGTGAGACCGCAGGTTGTTTTTGTTCCAATTAAACAATGGAAATAAGGAAAAACAAATGTTGCTGTTAAAATAATCACAGAATCCATGTGATGTGCAGGACAGAAATGAAGTTCACTGCTATTTTGCTTGTGTGAGCATCCCTGTGTATAGATGTATTACCCATGCTTAATTACCAAACACTTGGGGTTGTACCACTTGCCTAAACTTTAAGTTCTAAATCCCAGCTTTTAAAAGAGAACTTGAACACCGTGATTTTTTTGTTTGTTTGTTGGTTTTAAATTTTATTGTAGTCCCTAAAATCCCACAGAACTATACCAGGTTTGGGGGGGAAAAAAAATCAAGGCCATCCTGTGCTGTATTGCAATAATGGCTTTCACTTACAGTTAAATGAAAGTTGGGCCAAGCTTTGAACGTTCATTGAATATTTGTATTTTCTCTATTTTGTTGCCTTGCCTGTGTGTGGCTGTGAGTATGTGCTATTGTTTTTTTCTAGCTGTTTTGCAGACACATTCTGATGCCTTCTGACTGGGTGCAGACAGCTCCAGCTGGGACATGCTGTGCTAGGCCATTTGTAGCGAGATTCTTAATTGTTTGAGGCTTTGTTTTGCCTGTCCCCAGTGTTTAATTGGGTGCGGGTAAATGGGGTATCTGCCTTTTCAGGCAGAGCAATAAAAGAAGCAGTACCAGTAAAAGGGACTCTATGGTAATTCACAGGGCTGTGCCTGGTTAGAACTTACCTGTAATATACAGGAGATAATGTAAGGTACCTCTGTGGCATACAAAAATATCTCTGCAAAAAAAATTCTTATTTGATCAATATCAAGAAAATAGAACATCTGTCTGTACAAAAACCCCTCCTTATATTTATATGTCTAAGAATTGTTCTTATCAATATTACCATTAGATGTCTTCTTAGATGAGCTTTTTATAATACTATATCATTTACAGCAGGGGTGAAATTAGGTGTCCAGATTTGCAATTATTTAGGAAAATAAGGTATTTAGACTTTCATGTGTAATTTTCAAAGAGGTAAGACTTTGAAAATTCTTTTTTTATCGTCTTATTTTTGCAGTAAGATTGGAAATTATATTAGGACCCAGATTCATCCTACATAGCACTGGAACTCTGAGGGAATGGTATTTATATGATGAATGGAGGAAGATGAGTCTTGGCTGAGCCTTTTGCTGAGGTTCATCTCTCCCTAATAACTGTGTAGGGAGCCTGAATCACTCCTAATTTAAAAGGGATGAAACTGATCCTTTAGTGGGATGAGGAAGTTCATCAAAGCAGCTGTCCCAGGTCAGACCAAGGTCTCCTCCAACTCAGTATCCTGTCTCCAGCAGTGGCTGCAAGTGATAGGGAAGAGCAAAGCCAGGAAAAGCAAATAGGATGGTTCCCTGGAGCAGCCTCCTAACCTCTGTCTTCAGCTTGGAAATTTCTTCAGCTGGTTGCATTTTCTGTGTGTTTGGTAACCCTCAATGGATTTCTCTTTTATGTACTTGCCTGGTCTCCCCTTGAGCTGAGCTACATTTCACATGTGTCATGGCATCTCCTGGCTGTGGAATGCATCTCTGGGAGCACCAAGCACTTGCCTCCATGTGAGTGTTTTAAACCTCACTGACAGGTGATTCTTCTGAGGTCTTTAAATCTAGTGACCCAAAGGGATGTATGTGAACATAGTCAATCCCCCTCTGCCCCTTCCATCCCAGGAGGAAGCTGAAAAGGCATCAAGTCATAAGTAAGTGTTGTCCATGCCCTGTATGCACCAAAGGGCTCTGTATCCTCATCCTCCATCTTCTGGGGCTTGGGCTACCTGGCCTCACAGCCAACTCTCACCTGGTGCAAATGGGCAGCCTGGGATCAGACTGCTGAGAATAACTCTGTGAAAAACCAGTGAGAAGCCTGGCTGGGGTCTCCTCCACTTTGTCCAGCAGCTGCAGTCAAGCTCAGGCCTTTACCCTTGGCACCTTCCTGAACTGCGCTGTGGGAATGCCAGTGTCCAGTCTTGCACCTTGCTCATCCTCACCCCAACCTGCTGACCTGAGCTGGCCTTGGCTCTGCCTTATCACTGTGGACCTGTCTGGTAAACCATGGGCTGTGGCTGACCCTGACTACCATTCATGGACTTCTGAGAGGGGGCTCTTGGTGTTATCACCTCCCTAGTGGCCTTGTTGTCACCCTGGGCTCTGGTTTGCCATCCCTTGCAGAGCATCCAGCTCTTGCTGTTCCCTAAGATGCTTTCTGGTCTTGCCAGTGCATTACCATCTTGTCAGGTGATCCTGGATTGACAAACAAATTTACACATAGAAGTGTCCCCCCTTCCCCTCCCCAACCCTACTGCATGTACAAGACCTACAAGTCAGCTGCTGATCAAGCCAAGATTTAATCCTTTACTAGCGTCTTGCTTTCATCCTGCTGTACCTTCTCCATGAATGACAGCCTGGCTCATATGGATTGGCTGTAAGCAAGCTTAATAACTTCAAGGCATAAAAGAAGCAAGTTCTCAAATGCAGATATTCTTTCAGTTTCAACATATCAGAGACATAAAGAGAATTATGATGACTATGAAGAAGTGTGAGAAAATGCCACAGATTTATGGATCTGTTAATGTTTACAGTAACATTATTACATTATTATATTAGTTCTCACTGTGGAAATTAGGGGCATGGTAAGGTGACAATCTTACTGTCTGCATGGAAATATATACAAAGCAATTAGTCTTTCAAAAAATGTATTTTGAAATGCTGTTGAAAGCTATATTTTCTTACAGTTCTGATGAATTGCTAAGCATCTGAGTTTATGGAGTTCTTTTACTGTTATTGGACTGAAAAAGCCCTTCTTTTTTTATCCTTTTGCAAGTTCTTGTCTGAGCTGTTAAGTGCTATGAAAGCATGAGATCTATTTGCTGGTTTGAAATGCTCAGTCCTGCTAGCTCACTCCAACTCCCCGTTACAAATCCTCTGGCCCTGTTAGGGGTTGCTAGGCAGAAGGAAATAATGCCGTTTGTTAAACAAAGCAGACAATGTCTGTCTTTGTAGACTTCACACATTCTTTTGGTGGTGTGAAATCCATGTTAACAATCAGCTCACAGTGGAAAGGTCCCAGTTAAACATTTACCACAGAACACGTGAGGTGAGTGTGCTGAGGGCACAAAAAATGCCACTTCCCAAAACTTCACCTGGATCCTTGCACCAGTCAATGAGTTTGTTGCCAAGGTTTTCTGACCAGGAGAAGGAGGAACATGAACCATGCAGTGTGCAGGAGAGGAGGACACGGGACAGATGGCTGTCAGGGAGGGTGACACAGGCCTAGCCTCCCACTGGGTTAATTTTTTATTCCTTTGCCCTCTGTTTGAGTTTCGCCAGTACTTTTCTGGGTATTTTAGATTTTTTGTTCCACTATAATTTGGATAAGGAGAAGTCCTAGTTGCCCTGTGACAGCTCCCCTGTGCTCTCTGAACTCCACTTACTGCTGGGGTGCCCTGTGCAGTCCCAGCTGGTAGATGGGCTTCGTGCTTTGCTGAAAGAGGTCTTCTGGGACTCAAGGAGAGGGAAACTGTAAAAAACACCTTCTTATAAAGTTCTGTCTTTTGAGTTGTCTTTCCTTGCTGAAGCTTTGCCTTTTCCCTGCCTAGATTTCTTTGGAGGGAGGCACTGCTTTGCCTTTGAAGGGGATGATTGCAGAACAGACATACAGATTTAAAGCGCTCATATCTCGACTTTCAGAAGGGAAAGAATGCAGCTCTTTCACTGAGACTCCACTGTGCCCAGATATATCTGACCTGAGGCTCTGTTGTGGTCAGAAATTATTTGCTATGTGCTGACACCACCGTGTGCAGGGAATGTTGCATCTCTCTAACAGCCTGAGCCGTACCAGGGTGTGACAGCAGGAAGGAATTTGAATAAATCCTCGGTATCCACCTACATGACTTCTTAACACCTAGGCGGCAGCGCAGTCCCCCGAGCTTCAAAGATGTTGCTTCAGCTTCAAGCGTTACGGGCTAACTAAGCAACTTAAACCCAGCATCAACCTCTCTGTTGTTGCTTTTTTGTTGCAGAATTGTAAAACCAGGAAGTCTGGTCTTTTAGAAATTATTTAGTTTAATCTGTTTAAATTTCTCTGTATTAATAACATAGGTGTTTGAGCTAGCGGATATTTTAAAAGAGAAGTCAATTTTGATTTTAATTTCCAGGAATGTAGAATCCACCTCACAAATACAACTGCTTTGTTGGATGGCTGGCTCATCATTAAACCTTTATTTCCATTTCCAATTGAAACTGATTTGATACCTATTTTCAGTAACAGGGTCTCATTCTGTCTCAGCTAGTTTGAACAGCTCTCTCTCAGATACACACTTCCTTCTTAACACTTACAGCTATAGACTGCAGTGAAGTTTCCCCAAGTCTTCTGTTTAATAGGGTCTATATATTGGTTTGGTAATTCTACAGCAAAGATTTTTTTTTTTCCCCACTGGATCATTCTCCAGACATTTTTCTAGATGCTTCCATCATCTTTCTGGGGTTGCAGGTGGCACCACAACTCATTCCTGATCTCAGCAGTGTCTAAAATATTGCTAACTCAGTTTATATATCCAACAACTCAGTTAGCCTCATTGGTCTCAGATTTGCACTGGGAGAGGTGGTTCGTCCATTGGCTAAAGGGAGCTTCCCTTGGTTTTTTTAGTAATTTCTTGTCAGAATAGTCCCCATTTTCTTTATATATTCATAAGGATGTAGATGTATGTGTATGTATATCACTAGCTAGCTCTGATGTCCTGAAAATGTCCCACTTACATGGGAGTGGAATTAAGCTCATGGCAACTTGTTGACCTTAAATCAGCCCCCCCCCGAAGTGTTTTCCCAAAGGCTAGGTGTTGTACCATCTTTTGGGTTTTAACACATCACTGTTAGGCAGCCAGGCAGTACAGGCAAAACCACTGGCAGAAGCACTGCAGATCACCTACAATGCTGTTGTACAATTATTCTCTACTGAATGCATTAAAGTGGCCAGTGAACTTACACTCTCATCTGTTTGCTGCTGGGAGAATTCCCCGAGAATTCTTTAATCTCTGCAACTTTTGAAGTTGAGCAGGATTTTTAAAATAAAAAGCTGTAGTCCAGAGCAGGATATTGAAGCAGCTTTTACACATTAACTTGTTCTGTGGGGTCAGTGGCTGCTTCTTCTCATTATGGCAGTGCTGCAGCTTCTCCAGCTGTGATGTGTGGATGCGGTCCAGGCCTGGCCAGATCTCACTTTTCTCTGAAGTAGTCACAGCCACTGTGTTTTATTCTTCGAAGTTGACTTTGGCTTTCCTTGGAGTGTGAAAAAAGCTCTAACACTGCTGCTACTGCCTCCTAGAAGAGGCTGTATGCGCATGCATCAATGCTTTCCCTTGCAGCATGCAACTGGGAATACAGGAGCAAAAGCAGCCCCATTCTGATCACCTTTGCTAACTCCCATTGGCACTGATAGTGGAATGTGACAATCTATGTACAAAGCAGATGACCATTAGGTACTGACCATCTCCTGGGTCATTAAAGGGACAATTCAGTCATCAAAGTCAGCCACTCACCAGGGGAGAAACAAATAATAAAGTCAAACTGAAAATAGGAAGACAGAGCAGGTATGAGCAGCCACTGCAGACTTCCTGGCTCCATCCTGTGGGTCACAGCAAGGTTGATCTCCACCACACTTGGCATCTATCTTTCATGTGTTTGCAGTCACCAGAGGGACTATGTTCCTTCTTACAGGCAACAACAGGAAAACAGCCTCTTCTGGGGAAAGTTTCTAAGAACTGCAAGTAACCTTTGCTGTTGAGGTGTTCCCCAGGAGACTGGATGGTGTGTGCCAGATGAAGATGTAGTGAGTAGTATGATGTAGCTGCTGCACCTACTCTTCAGCAAAACAGTGCCAGCCATGTCTCTCAGCAAAGCTTCAACCAGGCTTTGTTGGTAGATAACATTTCAGTTTTTGCTGCAGAGATAAAGCCAGCTCAGTTGTGAACACAACAGAAAGGCCACCCTGATGAGTGTAAACGCTAAAGATCTGACATGCGCTCAAAAGAGCACACAAACTGTCAGTACCATAGGAAAACCCTTCAAGATATCTGACGGCCCATCCTCATCCTCAAAACCAAAGGGTGGCCTTTGAAACCTGGGACGCAAGACTGGAATAAGGATCAGGCACACCAGTGCTTTCATCTCATTTTTGGTGGAGGAGCTTTGAGCTGATGTGGAAGTCATTTGATCTGCCTGACCTTTTGGAGTATAATTGCTGGCTTAGAATTTACAAGTTGTTAATAATTTATTTCAAGAGAAGGTGCTGCAACAGCAAGGCAACATCAGACCAAGGGGAGGGTTGGGTTTGGAATGGGAATCGCGGCTGCCAAGGGCAGAGTTACTTTGGATGCTACTGGAGAAGAGCAAGCTGGATTAAGGAAGTAAAAATAAAAGGAGTCATCCTCCTCCACTTTCGATTGATTTCTACAAGCCAATTAGCTTTGAATCTTTTTAGAACCTGGAAACATTATGATCCATTTTTAATGAAAATAAATTATTCTGGTTTCCAAGCTGATCCCATGGTATTTTCTAGTCAGCAGAGGAAATACTGAAAATCTTGTAAGAGATCCTGTTCTCATAAAATGCCCAGCCCAATTTTGTAAATTCAGGAGGTTTTGGCTAGGCCAGATAAGCTTTGGAGAAGCATCTGAATATTCACTCAAGCTGAACCCACACTCCAGACTGTGGTGAGAGCAGTTTCCTGCACTTTTGAGCTTCTGATGCTTTGAAAAATTTTACTGACTCTGGAAGAATGAGGACAGTGAGAAAAAAAACCTGTTGCCCCTCTGTAGTTAGCCCGCTGGATAAAGAGAAGCACAGATGGCTGCCCAAAGGCTGATGGATAGGATAAATTCAGCATGGTTAATGTCCTCTCCCCAGTGGCCTGCAAATAAGTAACCATGAAATCCTCCCAGGTCCAGAGACCTATTGGGAAATAATAGTCACAAAGGCTGCTTTGGTGGTGATGGTTTAAGGTAAAAATTGCCTAGTAATTACTGCTACTCTTGCATATATGAGACGTCTCCCACAAGAAAAAATGTGTCCCCTATTCAGCCTCAGTGCTTGTGTAGTTCCCATCACATAATATTTGAGCACCTCCCAAGCAGTCAAAAATAACCCAAAAGTAAATGTGAGAAAAAGGTGTTGTTTCCTCAGCCCGGTAAGCACACAACAGATTTCCAGGTTGGCTCTGACCTTGTGCCGCTATGGCTGAGGGCAGGACTGCGTATTTCTGTGCATCCCTGAATTAATATTTTGACAAATTGCCATTTCTCTCGCTGGCTTACCCAGTTTGCTGACATGTTGATACGCTCTCTGCTGTCAGGGCCAATAAGGGATGCATGTTAAGCTGCTCAGTAACACTCAAAGTCTCCTTTGCTTCTTTTGGTCCCACTCAATGCAGAGCAACATTTCCCATCTGGGAACTATTAGCATATGCTAAGCAGTCATTAACCTATTCTAATGATGCCTGGAGGTTTTCAAAGGAGCCTAGAGTGACCAAAACGTGCAGAATGGCTGTGCAGGAACTTCTGAGTCAGCCTATCGGTCTTGGGAAGAGATTTGAGACACCAAGCCAGATTCATGGACCAGTGGTGACGTCCAGTGGCTTCGCCTGTAAGGGCAGAAAGCAAAGGCCTTCAGAGGGACTGGCTCTGGATCTGGGCTGAGGCTAGCAATGTAGGTAGCAAATGCAAGAGATGTGAAGAAAAATAGAGGGCCTTTTTTCAGAAGCAGCAAGAAGCTGAGAGTATTCTTGTTGCACGGGAGGCTGCAGGAGGTAGCAGGGCTTGATGGAGGTCACTCTTCAAAACAGAAGTTTTGTGCCCAGTCACTGAGGTAGGACACACAAACATCCCACGGACAGTCAAACAATGAGAAAGTCCCCTTCATGTGACTGCTACAACACTGAAACACCAAGTTTTCCCCTTTCTATAAAATAATTTCTTTAGTGTCAAATATTAACTGTGTTATCAGCATTCTTATGTTAACAAGTTCTTGCCATTAGCCCAGTCTCCACAAGTTTGAGGCATGGGGTCACGCTTAGCATCCCCAGTCTCTGTCTTAGGAAACTGTGTGGGTGCCCATGGCAGAGCCATAAGCGTTTAGCAAATGCCGTACAAAGAACTTCAGGCAAATACATGCTGAAGTCTGTAATCTTCCTTGTGTCAGCACACACATGTCGATGGGACAAAAGTTCTTCTCCAAAAATATTGGTCAGATTTTTCAAAGATTTTTTAATTTGCAGAAGCTTAGAAATTTTCTTGTGGAAATGCAAACTCCTATAAAGTGAATTTGAATCTAATGATATGATGATAGATGTGCTTCTTTTACATCCCTTTCTAAGTATCCCTGAAAAAAATGTTTGAAGAAAATGCTGTAGACAGAAGGAGAGTTTTCCAGGACTGCCTCCTCTTCTAGAGTGATCAGCTCTTTCCTTCAGTCCAAATCAGCCTTCGAGAAGATACAGTCGAGTCTTGCTTACCTTTCTGAACAACTTCGACCCCAGATTTTTTGTCTCTAAATCACCAGTCCCAACATCAGATCCCAGCCTGTGCCACTATCCATGCTTGTTGCAGTTTTGCATTTTGAAGCCCAAGCTGGCACTCTCAGTCAGTGCCTACAGACAATGGCAGCACTGCCAAGAAAATTAGGCAATTAAAAAAAGCTAACAGTACAAGCATAACACCTGACTTTGACATTTTAACAGCAAACAGCTAAGGCAATGCTGGAATTAAAGGTAGCTGTGGAATTTCCACTCTGTCCTCTGTTATAAAATACCTTTTTATTGCGTCCCACTATTCAAGTGCTGCCCTAAATGAAGAGTTATTGATTTTCTAATGCATTTTTTTCCCATGGCACTCTGCTTTTATGGCTGGTCTTTAATTCATTTTTACAGCGTCATTCAGAGGTGAAGGAAATGAATCCCTTTTTACTGAATAGCTGTGAAGATTAATGTAAAGGATACATATTCATTTTGGTGTCTGGGCTGAAGCTGTGCATTTCACACATTAGATGTGGCAGGCAAAAATGCTGACCCTGGGCTCTGCAGCTTGTTCCAGGGAACCAAGTTCTCAGGTGAGAAAAGATTTCTCCAGCCTCTTCCTCTCCTCTCCTGCTTCATTTCACCCATCCTCCACAGCCACCATGTCCCTCTGCCTCCCACCACTGCCCTGTCCTCCACCCCATGCTGCAGTTCCACATCCACATGCCATCCCTGGTCCTGTCCTTCCTCTTATCTTGTCGGGAGGATTCCTGAATCTTCCACTCCTTCATCACCACCCACACACCTGTCTCTTGTCCTTTCTGCATTTTAATCCAGGAATTTTTTTTCCTCCACGTTGTCTCACCCCAATGAATATCACTGAGAGCGCAAAAGAGACAGACTCCTAGCTCTCCCTTCAAGTGCCTGGCCCTGCCGTAGGCTGCCGAAGTCTGCAGCTGAATCTGCAAGGGAAGTCCCACTTGACCTGAGGTTGAAACCTGCTCGGGCAGGATGGAAACTTCAGGGGTTCAATTGCTAAAATTAAAGGAATCTCTTAGTTATCCACTGGGCATGTGCAAATTCAGCTCCCCAAAAGCATGTAACGTAGCCAAATTTGGGCAGATTTTCAGGAGGGCAAAAGGGATATCTCTGATGAAAGGCAACCCTCTAACAAGTTCCTGCTCCAAGGAAGAGGGGTGCCAGAGCTTTTCAAAGAAAAGGTCACAATTGCTTTTTAACTTGGACAAAACAATGAATTTTTCCTTACCCTCATTATTGGAAACGGCTGAGTTTGTGGTCATTTTCCAAAAACTTCAGCCTGAGGCAGATACCTGGCATGGAAAATTTCATTCCAAATGGTTATAGTTTGGCAAAGTCGTAAGCGCTTGAAAATAGGGTCTTACAATGCAAGGGATCAAGCTTTCACTGCAGTATGAAGGGCCAAGCCACCGGTCCTAACTCCAGTCACAGCCCAACACCTTGCTTCGTCACCTGCAAACAAACCAGTGATACACATTGAAGGCAGGGCTGAACGCCTTTCGGGGGTTTATGTTCTGGCCAGAAGGGAATTACTGGGATCAGTAGAGAAGAAATGGGTTAAGGTGAATACTCTGTAATGTAGAGGGGTTTCCTAGCATAGAGGGGCTTCGGACAGCCCAGTGTGCAGAGCTGCTTTCCGAGTTCTGCTTGTCTGCATTTGCACACATTCATCCTCTTCAAATAAATGTGGTTTTCAGTTTTCTGTCAAAAGTGTTAGCAGCAGCTTATCCTGCATTGCCCTGGTTTCTAACGAGCCCAAGTTGGTCTGTCATTACCATTAACTCAGCCATCCATTTCCTTCTTTTATCACACCACTACTGCCACCTCTCCCTTGTCATGTTCTGGAAGAATGAATGCATAGAGACTGGCAACCCCCAAGCAAAATTAGAGCAGCTGACTGCTGATGCTGAGTAGCGTGTGATTTTCTAGGGATAGCCCATCAGCCCCTTCCCAGTGGATCCTTTCCTGAGTGCTGAGCACAGTCCCTGGCTTTTTGGCTGCATTTCACATACAGTGACAGAGGCAGGGGCCATATTCTGTAGGCATAGACCAGTTCCTGGAAAAGGCAGAGGAATCTTGAGGGGCTAACAAGCTCCAACTGAGTTACAGATATTTCACATCTGCCATGTATGAATCAGAATGCAGTATCTGCCCCCATGGCCAGGCAGTTGGCAGCTCAGAGTACCTCAGGACAAATGAACCATGGCAGAAACTTGGGCATCCCATGCTGCTGTTGTGAGACCTGAGATCACCTTATGTTCGTTTTTCACCATGTGGGTACACTGTCATCCCTGAACACCACTGCATTGGATCCCCTTGGAAAGATGTGTGTCCTTTGCATGAAGCCCAGAACGGTGGATGTTATGGCAGGGCACGCTGCCTGTGTAATACTAGCTCTGTTTGCACAGGTGTTGGATGGCTTTAGAGCCTGGATCCTTGGATGATGTGAGCATCCAGGAGGTCTTCTGTGGCTTACGGAGTCTGCTGGGAGCTGAGCGCTTTCAAAATGAAATCGTCTTTAGAACTGCTGAAACATTCGTGAGTAACAGTCCCCATCCGCATCAAAAGGTTTTCTTATTGCCTAAGTTATTTCACATATTCTTTTTCAATAGTGGCAGAGAAACATCAAAATTTGAATGGATAATCCCCTCCTTATTGTCAGTTTATTGGGACATGAGAGAGGGGAAAAAGGCAATGGGTACAGCTGTGCTGTCAGTGAAATCCAGGGCTACCTGGATTGCCTGAGGAATGGGCCTGGCCATTTATTTTCCTAAAGGTGCGCACAGGAGCCCATGTCTGTTTTGTGAAAGGAATAGTTATATTTATTACCAGGAAGGTCAAGAGGAGAGGAAAGCTGGCTGACGGTGCGCAGGTAGCGAGAAAGGAGGAGGAGATATTTCCAGTACTGGTGGAAAGAGAATTAGAGGTAATCGCGGCAGCATCTGACTAAAATCAGAGCTGATTAAAATCAGAAGAAAGGAGAGAAGCAGTATGAATAAAACAAGAATGGATTGAAAGTATAATAAAACACAAGTGGTGCAGAAACACCAGCCTTTTATCTCATGCCTCAAGTGAAAACAAACCTGTTTTCCAGTGGAAGGTATAACAACCAGAAGCTGTTTCAGGAAGGTCCATGCGTGCTGACGGGCCCACCACCGCGGCCAGCATCACCTGCAGGCAATGCAGCAGCTAGATGGCATCACCGGCTGCGCTATCCCCTTTGTGTTCGCTCCCAGATGTGCTCTATGCAAAGGCTTTCAGCTTGGCTTGCTCAGATATTGTTTTTGCTAAAAGCTGTGGCTTTGGATTTAAAAACGAAGAAACAGCCAGAGCTCACCGACAGGTCTGCGTTCCCAGTCTTTGTTGAGTAATTTCAGTGCTCTCTGGATCACAGGTGTTTACTAAGAGAGTTGTAAAGATTTAAAAAGACAATGCCACTGTGAAAAATGTGGTTTGGGTTTTTTTTTCCTCTGTGGTGCTATAAGGACAAGGATTTCTTTTTGCCCATCAGTCTGAGGGAGGTTAACTGCTCCCCACTCTTCCTTTTACATCTTTACATCTCAGCTTAGCTGTTACTACATCAATAGCAGAGTAACAGCAACAGCTCACAAACTCAGCAGGTGACCTATCCACACATGCTGAAGTCCTGCCTTGGTCCGCTGAGGTAGGTACAGCCACCTTCATGAGACTGGCTGGAGTGTGCTGCTGGTGAACACTGCTTTCCCATCTGAGCACAATTTTTAATTTCTAGGAGCTTGAGGCCTGAGACTGAGCTTTCCCAGGGTCAGGCTATTGGCCAGACCATGCTGCTGTCTGTGATATAAGAGTTTAACAAACTGTAACAATAAGATCAGTTGCTGGAGTGAGAAACAAAGAGAGGATTTCTGTTATATGTGGGGTTTGTAATCACCAGAAAAGCAGTTTGTTGTGCTTTTACATTCTCTCCAAATTTCTTCAGAGATTTCTTCCAGTTACTTTCCCCCCGCTTCCCACTCCCATCCCCTGCATGTGTTTTCTGTAGGGAGCTACTAGCAGGAGCCAGTTATAGAGATCCACGAAGAACCTGGGAAGTAAGAATGTGCGTCCAAGTGACATGTGGGGACCTTACCTATGAGTTGTGTCTCATGGGCAACGTGTCTCCAGGCCACACTTTGCTCCATCATGCATGCAGCCTGATTCTGTTCTCCTGGGTGCCAAGTCCGTAGGGGCAGCTCTTGCTTCTTGGTCCTCCTAAGCAGGAGGGAAATGGCCTCATTCTTGTCTCCATCCCCTGACTTCTCTCAGGGTGCTATGGGTGTCAGGGAGGTTCCATGGGAGGTTGGTCAGGGTCTGTAAGGCTTATGGGTGTCATCAGGGCCCTGACAGCTGCCTTAAAGAGTTAGCTGCTCTCTACAGATATTTGTGGCAGCTTCAGGGACCGTAGGGATGATTACTTTTCTTAACTGTGGGACAGTGGCAGAAAGGACCCATATGGAGAAATACCCAGAAAAAAACCAAACCAAACAAAACAAAAACCAAACCAAAACCAACCCACAAACCCCTAACCCTTGGCTTTGCTTTTGTGACATATTTTGTTCAATTCTAACTGGAGAAATTCTAGCTGTAGCCCAAGTATGAGCCATGTAACAGAAACATCTGCTGTGTGCAAAATGGTGTCACCCACCCATGACTTTTAGAATTATGGCAAGAAATTAATTATGGGCTGAATGAAGCCAAAATGAGCCCCCACATTTTACCTCCCCCACAACACCACCCCCTTGAAAAAAGGCCCGTGGTACAAACTACATGCACTGCATGGGAAAGTGCTGAGGGGTCCCATCCTACCACTGATCAGGCAATTATCCAAAATGCAAACCCACCCTTCTGAGATAGGACCAGGATTGTTACACAAGTGAAATAAACTATAGCCAAGCTCCAACAGAGGAAGAATATGGATGCAATCTGGTCTGATACCAAACAAATAATGATTTCTCATTTATTGGAAGATTTTCATAGAATAGAATCATAGAATGTTTTGGATTGGAAGGGACCCCTAGAGGTCATCTAGTCCAACCCCCCTAGAGCGAGCAGGGACACCGCTAACTAGATCAGCCCCGTCCAACCTTCTTGGTTGGCCCCCAAATCCCCTGTGAACCAGCTCAAACTCATCTGTTCCAGGCTGCAGAAGAAAGGTCACTGCTCCAGTCTCTGCAGCACAGGCCGTGTATCTGGAGGAGCAGAGCTCTGCTCAGCAAGATCAGGAAAGATGCTTTGCAGCTGTGCCATCCCTTGCCAAGTCTCACTTGCTTTTCCCTGAAGTTTCCAGTCAACGTTTCTGCAAGTTCATGACCATAGAATCATAAAATCATTTAGATTGGAAAAGACCCTTAAGATCATCAAGTTCAGCCATAACAGAGCACTGCCAAGTCTACTACCATGTCCCTAAGCACCACATCTACACATCTTTTAAATATCTCCATGGATGGGGACTCTATCACTTCCCTTGGCAGCCTGTTTCAATGCTTGACAATCCTTTTGGTGAAGAAATTTTTCCTAATGCCCAACTTAAACCTCCTCTGTTGAGGCCATTTCCCCTCATCCTATCACTTGTGACTTGGGAGAAAAGCTGACCCTTGCCTCTCTACAGTCTTCTGTCAGGAAGTTGTAGGGAGTGATAAGGTCTCCCCTCAGCCTCCTCTTCTCCAGGCTAAACAATCTCAGTTCCCTCAGCCGGGCTCCAGACCCTTCACCAGCTTCTCTGGACATGCTTCAGCCCTTCTCTGGAGATGCTCCAACCCCTCAATGTCCTTCTTGTGATGAGGGGCCCAAAACTGAACACAGGATTCAAGATGCCAGGGAGATGCATGGAGGCCAGGGAGATAATTCGAGATAGCCAGCATGGCTTCACCAAGGGCAAGTCCTGCCTGACAAACCTAGTGGCTTTCTATGATGGTGTGACGTCAACGGTGGACAGAGGGAAACCAATGGATGTCATCTATCTGGACTTCTGCAAGGCCTTTGACACGGTCCCCCACAACATCCTTCTCTCTAAATTGGAGAGCTATGGATTTGATGGGTGGACTGTTCGGTGGATAAGGAACTGGCTGGATGGTCGCATCCAGAGGGTAGTGGTCAATGGCTCAATGTCCGGATGGAGATCAGTGACGAGTGGTGTCCCTCAGGGGTCCGTACTGGGACCGGTGTTGTTTAACATTTTCATCCATGACTTAGACAGCGAGATCGAGTGCACCCTCAGCAAGTTTGCGGATGACACCAAGCTGAGTGGTGCGGTTGACACACCAGAAGGAAGGGATGTCATCCAAAGAGACCTGGACAGGCTGGAGAGGTGGGCCTGTGTGAACCTCATGAGGTTCAACAAGGCCAAGTGCAAGGTCCTGCACCTGGGTTGGGGTAACCCCCAGTATCAATACAGGCTGGGGGAAGAAAGGATCGAGAGCAGCCCTGCCGAGAGGGACCTGGGGGTACTGATGGATGAAAAGCTAGACATGAGCCGGCAATGTGCGCTGGCAGCCCAGAAGGCCAACCGTACTCTGGGCTGCATCAGGAGGAGTGTGGCTAGCAGGTCGAGGGAGGTGATTCTGCCCCTCTACTCAGCTCTGGTGAGACCTCACCTGGAGTACTGCGTCCAGCTCTGGAGCCCTCAGCACAAGAAGGACATGGAACTGTTGGAACGGGTCCAGAGGAGGGCTACAAAAATGATCCGAGGGCTGGAGCACCTCTCCTATGAGGACAGGCTGAGAGAGTTGGGCTTGTTCAGTCTGGAGAAAAGGAGGCTACGGGGAGACCTGATTGCGGCCTTCCAGTACCTAAAGGGGGCCTATAGGAAAGATGGGGAACGTCTTTTTAGTAGGGCCAGCTGTGTTAGGACAAGGGGAAATGGTTTTAAACTAGAACAGGGTAGGTTCAGGCTAGAGGTAAGGAAGAAATTTTTTACAATGAGAGTGGTAAAACACTGGAACAGGTTGCCCAGAGAGGTAGTGGAGGCCCCATCCCAGTACAGGGGGACAATCACTGCCCTGCTCCTGCTGGCCACACCATTCCTGATACAAGCCAGGATGTTGTTGGCCCTCTTGGTCACCTGTGCACACTGCTGGCTCATACTCAGCTGGATATTGACCAACACCCCCAGGTTCTTTTCCACCAAGCAGCTTTCCAGGCACTCTTTCTCAAGCCTGTAGCATTGCATAGGGTTGTTGTGACCCAAATGCAGGACCCAGCACTTGGCCTTGTTGAACCTCATACAGTTGGCCTCGGCCCATCAATCCAGCCTGGCCAGATCCCTCTGTAGAAGTTTGGGCTGGCATACAATGTCAAATTAAAAGTAAAAAACAGAGTAAGCTGTTCATCTCAGCTGGGGAAGCTAAAATATCTCTGCAGTGGGATGTACCCTTTACGTTTTATTTGATGTGGCTCCCTCACCTTAGGAGGGAGCTGCATAAGCCAGATTGTGAAATCCAAAGAGAGGGCAGCATTTCCACATGCTCATTGCCCTTCCTCTTGCTGCACATGTGAGCAGTTCCTCTCACCAGTTTGCTCTGTCCTTCACCCTCACTATTCCCTCCTAACACAACTTATTTCACTTCTGGCTTAGCAACATCTCCCTGGATGTCTCTGCAGTTTACCGCAGCCCAGCTTCCTTCCCCGTGGTCTGTCCCCTGACTCAACCATCCTTCCCAGAAGGCCAAGAAACCCTCCTGTACAGGCTGAAAATATCCTCTAATCTAGGCTAAAATCCTTTCTTGGTCCTGGCCAGAAACAAACTCAAACCCTTGGTTTAACAGACCATCCTGTAGGGTTTCTACAACCCTGTCCATGGTTGCAGCCCAGCAATGAGAGCTCATGTACCTCCTCCCAGGATTGACCCCATGGCCTCTTGTCCTACCAGCCTTGGTTGGTGACACCTGCCATCTGGTGATGTCCTTAGCTCAGAATGAGATCCTGTGGTATGAACTGGAAAGCAAAACAGCTTCTTACCAGAAATCCCATGTGTCAAACTCTGACTACATATTTAAATCATAGGAAACTTTTATCACTTTCAGTTGCTGGAGAAAAAAATGTTCATTTTAAAATACCCAAGTGATGTGGTCCGGGCATTTTTGCATGAGGATATGAATAAGCACTTTTTGGAAAGACGTGAGTAGCAGCTCTTTCCTCATCCTGCACCTTGACTTGTTACTTAAAATTGCTGTTTGAAACGCCTATTTCTGCAAACCACGCTCTTGTAGTGTTAATGTCTTACACGGAGATACTTAAACCCTGGACTGCTTGCTCACTCTCTTAACTAGACCAGAGAGACGCTGTGAATGATTCCCCTTGAAGAGTGGAACTCCCTCCTGCTGGCGGCAGCTCAGGCATTTACTATAAGGGGAAAAGGGTGCACATCTGTGCTGTGGTGGGGGCAGCAAGGACTGTAGCCAAGCCCAGTTCTGCGTGTTCGGCCCTCCAGCCTCGCAGCTGTGCCTCATACCAATGACACAACACACTCCGAGCACAGCAATGAGATGGCGCAAACTTGCCACAGCAGCCCTTAAGTGCTTTGAGCTCCAAGACTTGCTGTTTTTCTCCAACAATTGCTGAAAGACATCCAAATATATTATGAGAAGTGATGTTGCGTCAGTTTAAACAAATTACTTTTAGGGTAAATGTTCATTTTTGCATTTAGGCTGGTTTGGAAAACATGTTTGTGTTGTTTGTTTTTTTTTTAAAGTGTGGTCCAGGGTGAAAAATAACTTTTTTGGTTATTGAATGAAAAAGATCTTAGTATCAAGGGACAATTTTTCCCAGTCCACGTAGGTCAGGGTTAACATTGAGTAATTCTTAGCTAGGCTAGTTAATGACTGATATGCAAAAAATTTCTGTTTCCAAACCAATACAAGCCAAAGGTTCTCCTTAGCGGCATCATAAAATCACTATGAAGTCCCTGAGAGAAGGAAAGAGATAAACATGCCTATAGACTTAATTAGTTAAAAATCTTTACCTCTCATTATGATTTGCTTTTTTTTTTTATACTGGGTTGGAAGAAAGGCAAGGTCTCTCTTTGTCTGATCAGCCTGTGCAGAGATTCCCCCATTTTGAAAATGTAGCAACAGAACATTGTGAAGTTATTTCTGGGTGTTGACCAAATTTTTGTTTATTGCTTTCAAGAGTGACCAGCCTGAGAAAGAACCTACAGATATTTAACTTAGGTTCTGCTTTGCTGTGTCATTCTGACATCTCCATGAAATGCTATCTCTTTTTTGTAGATAAGCCATTTATTGTTTGTTCAAACAACATTTTGCCTCTCAGTCCTTCTCTAGGTAGCCGCCAGTGTGGATCATGTTAAAAAAATCCAACAAAACAAAACTTCCTCCCACCTGAGCAGCAATCCATCACCTTCACTCAGATGCTCACCTTTCCCTCCAGCTCCTTAAACCTCATCAAAGAGCTAAAAGTAAAAGCATAGAGGAAAGAAGGCCATGAAGCTGCCTTGCTTGTCCCAGGGCCTGTATGGTGTAAGAGCTGTGTGTTTGCTGGTGGTGGGTGACCAGCACCACAAAGGAGCTGTAATGAGGAAAGCCTTTAGCATGGCTGGGAATGGGCACTAAAATACCAGAACAGATTTTGGAGATCTGGACCTACTCTTAGCAGCCATGGATGAAATCACAAGATGCAAAAAGTCTTGCTAGCATGTTTTTGTGGACAAGTCATCAGTGAAACCTTGCAGTGAGGCATCCTGTGGTTTTTTTTTTTTTCTGTACATATTGTGCAAATGTTTATTTCACAATAGTCAAGAAAACCTTGCTGTGGGGCAATGGAGGAAAATGGATAGACTGAACCCAATTCTGAGGAACTAGGCACAAGGGAATTATATAAGCACACTGAAGAGTCATTGGCCTGATTCAATAGTAGTGGATAAAGACCTGTGGAGAGGGGAAGTGGAGTGTTCATTGCTTTTTTGTGCATTTCTACTATACATGCAGATTGAATAACAACATCTAGTAATATTTCTAAGCAACTGCTTGCTTTAAGCTCCAGCTTGAATATATGGTGGTATGTGCTTTGCTGTTGTATCTTTCCTCATTTTGATCCTCAAAGGTTTGTGTGGAGCTAATCACCACCACCCTGGATTTCCTTGGGATTGAAGAGGAATGGGTAAACACAGTTCTCGGGATGATGCTGGGGCTGAAGAGGTTGGGAAAGAAATGAGAATATGAATGGGTATTGGCTATAGCTCCGTGGGTAATTGTCCACTGGGTGCAGAGACTGCTTGTGCCAAGACTTTGGTCATTTGCTCCAGAGCAGTTTGTAACATCTGGATTTGATGCCAAAGGAGCAGTGTGAGTCACAGTGAATTTCACATTCCCCACTTCAAGAGAATTAAATTGTCCCCCATTTTCACTGTGGGACCCTTTCATGCCATCTGCAGGGGGTCAGTCTGTCAGGGGATATCAGTGCAGCTCCAAACACATTGCACAGCACCTGTCGTTGCAAGAGGAGGAAAATAGGGAAAGGAGGCATGAATAGGGCTTAAATATTTTCAAGCTGGATGGTTAAGATGGGTGTGTTG